CTAAAGACTATATTAAATTAGCTTTAATAACTATACTAAAATAATATTAAATCAAGTTTAAATTTTAATTTATAATTTAGATTTTTGTTAAATTTAGCAGGTTGTAATATCACAGTTTAATATTTAAAAAAATCTTAAATTATTATTAATTAGAGTTAGGGTTTAAGCTAGTATTAGAATTGGGATTATTGAATTCTAAAAACTTTTAATTAGAAGCCCAAGACTAGTTTATATAATGAAATTTTAAGATATTTAAAATTTTGACATTTCGTTCATTTTCATTACACAAGATCCTGTGATCTAATTGGTCAATCATATTAACATGCGATATAGCAACCTGTAATATTTAACAATATTCAAAAATAATTATTACTTGAAATAAATAATGTTATAAATATTTACTACTATATTTAGTCAAATAAATTAGTCGTATAACAAAAATTCAGCAGATTGAAGACAAAATAGGCCGGAATAGATTATTTCTTCAATAAAATAGCAGCCCATATACTAAGTAAAACTGCCATATGATAATTTTGCTGTAGTATAGTTTGTTGATATTATTACTTGATACTAATATTTCGATTCGAAATCTGACTATCTGAATTGATCCTTAAATCTAGATAAATTCAGATATTCAGATTAGAGATTTTTATTTAGATTTGTCAAGAAACTTAAATAACGAACCTAAAAGTGCACACAAAAGCTGGCTTTATATATAATTTAATATGTATTCAATCTGGATCTGAATGGCCTGTCAAAAATAGGATCGAAACACTACTTGATACTGGCCTAGTTCAGGGCTAAATTTTGGTCGATTTTGCTGAACTTTGGTTGCTCTAATAAGTTATTCTATTTAGTTTCGTGTTTATAAATACATATAAGCATTTATTTAGGTGAGACCAACTTGATTTGGTGGTTTACATTACATCTCTTTTTCAAAAGTGGGAGAAATGGAACGTATACATAGTAAATTTTATTAAATTTTTTTCAATTAAAAATTATCGGCCTAACCTTGCTCATCTTTTATATTCGTTAATTTTCTCTTCTTAATTTTTTGGATCCTTACAATTTCTAATTTTAATTTTACCTGATATTAGTTCTCCAGCCAAAAATCATATATGTATATCCCAAAAAAATTGTTTACTAAGAGGGGGTTAAAGGAGGTAATGTAAACCACCAAATCAATTGGTCTGAACTTACTTTTTAGTTTCATATTAAACTGCAAGTGTAATTAAAAAAGTCAGCTTGTTCAGATAGCATAATTCGAATGCCACTCGATATTGCAGGTTGAATGGCATATCGAACAATATTCAAATTATGTCATTTAAACAAGCTGAGTTTTTTTTAATTTTGACTAATATAATTAATTTAAATTTATAAGATCAATTGATTATTTAATTGATAATAATTGAATTCAATATCGGTTAATTAAGGTTATCTACCGTAATAGGTTTACTAAAATCATAAGTTTGCAATCTCTCATTCGAAATTGTAATTTTTTGCCAAGTGTAATAGTTGTAATAGATGTAATGGTCGTGACAAATATAATGATCTGATTATGCTAATAAGTAATTGCATGATGCAATCACGCTAAACCAAAAATTTCAGTGATATGAAAAATTTGTAATGTTACTGAATTAAATATGAATTGATAATTTCAAAAAAGTATAAACAAATACACATGTAGGCCAAATAACCATACGTTTTGCCAATAACTATGAGTATGTTTAAATATATACTATATATTAAAGTTCTACAATGCACTTGTCTGTGTTAAAAGTATTCTGATTAACTTGCTTATACAAGCATATAAACATGAGCACTTTAAAAAAAAAAACCATGGTTTGACCTTTAGAGTTTATAACTTAACTCAACTCTTGGAAATTTTGATTTTAGAGTCGATTTCATTCACTGCACTGTTATTTGTTATCTATCACTAAATTTGTTAAGCTATAAGAATGAAATCGACTAGGGTGGCTCTCCAAAAGTATAGATTGATAGCGCAGTAATAGCTGAAGTTAATAATTTACTGATCATATTCGATACATTTTAATTTAAACCTCAAACCTTTTAATGAACACTTACATTTACTAATAGCTTCAAAATAAAAAAGATCTAGTTATTGCTTGTCATTTATTGGTTATTTATGCTGCAGCTACACTATTGATTTGCACTTTTGGAAGGCCGCCCTAGTTGATTCCAAAAGATCATTGAAATCTAATGAAGGCTTTCTTTTAACGGCACTCATATTCGATTCCTGAAAAGATTTATAATGCATAAGTTTATAAATTCCAGAAATTCATTTTCTCTGATCTATTAGTCACGTGTTAGACTAAATCTGTATATATAGTATGATATAATATAATATCAGAAAATTTTTTAAATATGAAATATATAATTATGCATAAGGTTGATGTGATTGAATAATGGCAACTAAAGAAGTTAGGTATGAAAAGAAAGAGAATAATAAATTAGTTTCTTTTTAAACTCGATATTCATTTTGATTATGAGTGCTCTCAAGCATCTAAATCAATAGGTCTGAGTTTAATTTTTAATTAGTGAAAAATAAATTATTCAGTCAAGCAAGTTCATTATTGCGATGAAAAAAAAAGAAGGTCAGAGACATTCTTTTTTTATCAGATTTGTGCTGGTTGGCTAAAATTTAATATCTGTGTTTCGCAATGTGAATCTTCGACAAATTACTGTAAGGTTTACTTCAATTAAACGTAGTATTTGTACATGATCTCTATAGATAGCGAATTACACTGAGAGAGATACTTGAGAGCACTCTATATCCATATTCCTTTCTAAATAAATTATAGTTATTTAATGCTATTGTTTTTGTTAAAATATTACTTTTAATTTAAATAGATCAAAAACGACATTTTGGATGACTGGGGTTTACTATATGTCATTTTAGCCCTGGTTCATATTCATGACCAAAGGCCACGGGTTTAAATTAAACCTGTGTATGTAACGGGGTTATTCAATATATCTATACAATAAGGATGTATTATTGTATTATTGTTTGAAGAAAGATAGTTTTATTTATATTACATATCATTATTCAAACTCAAAATATGTATCATGCATTAAATTTAAAAATGTGCTAATTTGCTTATAAATAGCTGTACATATTTTTAGTGTACTCATTCTTTAAATTTCATTCTTTAATTTTAATTTATAGTTAACAATACAATCATAAATCACATTTACATTTTCAATGCCCAAAAAAGCTGTTTCAAAACAAAATTCACGTATCTTCAAGAAAAATACTGCGTCTACAAGCAAAAAGCACTTATGTACTCGGATAAAAAAAATGCGTCTTCAATCAAGAATAACAGAACTCATAATAATCAAAACAAAATTAGCGAAAGTCATGATCTTGAAGACTTTAATTGTAATGACACTGACAATTTTAATAAAGTACTTACGAGCAACAATGTTGAAGACTCTCAAATGCAATCTCCAGATTCTCGGTCATTGGGCTTTCAATCAAGATCAAGATATTCTTTGCCAAGACTTTCTCGTTCTCATTCATGATATTCTCCTTTGCAAGATTTTTGTTCCCATTCACGATATTCTCCTTTACAACGTTCTCATTCTCGTTTACAATATTCTTCTTTACAATGTTCTTGTTCTCGTTCATGACATTCATTACAATGTTCTCGTTCTTGTTCATGACATTCTTTACAACATTCTTATTCACTTCAATGTTCCTATTCATAATCATGATACCTTCCTTTACAACAATCTCATTCACGACACTCTCCTTTACAACAATCTCATTCATGATACTCTCCTTTACAACATTCTCATTCACCAAGTTCTCATTCACGATCACAAGTTCAGTCTAATAGCCACAAAACACTTTTATTCGAATCAGATTATGAAGCAGCAGCATATGTTGCTGAATGACCAGAACTTTTAAAAATTGCAAATCAAATGGCTCATTATGATGGCTTTAAAGGGTCAGACAATGAAGAAAAAATGATGGTTCTTACTCAACAAGTAAGAAATCTTTTATTGTATAATGATTATTATAAAATTTTTTACATTAATTTTTTTCTTATATTGAATTTTCTTATACTAATTTTTTTACATTAATTTTTCTAACTTAATACCTTAATTTTTAGGAAACAATGAAATTTCAAAGTTCTTGAAATGCATGTTTTTTAAAACGCGACATCTTATGTATGCAATAATTCTTAAATGTATTAAATTATGTTTTTCGTCCAAAAAGCTATCCCATAAAGACATATCCGTTTTAAAAGGTGCTGCAAATGCGGTATATCGATTCTACAGAGAAGCACTTCGAAGTGGCCTCAGAAAGATTGCTGAACATTTTATTGATGATTTTAAGTAAGTAAAGATATATTTACCGTATAGCACTTTACAAAGTACTCCATCAAAAAGTAACCGTAGAATAGTACTCTGATATTATTGTGGTAGTTTAATTTAAACCTATTATAAATAACTAAAATTTAAAACTAACTGAAATTTAATTTACAGAATTACATGTTCCTCTCAAATTGAACAATCTGATATTCAAGATTATCTTCAGGAAGAGGTATGGAGATCATTTCTTAAACGCTTCTATGAGGTAATTGATGAAGAAGCGACACTTACGACAGAATTTAAGGAGACATGGCAAACATTTATGTCAGAATGTTTTTGAAAATGGTTGAAGAAACATTGGATGAAAAGAAAAAGCTTGTTAAAATCACAGACTTAGATTGTCTTACCTTGAGCTATGATATATACGATGTAGGAGGCATATTGAACCTTAATGATGCTGATTTTAAGGCACTTTTAAGGAAAGAATTGGATAATAAAGAAAAAGAAAATAAGAATTAGATATAATGTTTCAATTTTAATGGAATAATTAAAATCAAAAAAAAATTTGTGATATTGCAAATTTATATGAAACTAAGTACATGTTTGATTTTATCAATTAGCCATCCCAGTAATACTGAGATCTTAATAGTTAGCAATTAACAATTCCGATTATTATTTTTTTTAATATTATTCAAAAATGTATAGAAGAATTTATTAAAGGCGATGGCATTTACTTTCAATAAAGCTTGGACTTCAATATCTTAATGAGGTGTATATAAGAATCGATTCTCAACTTTTCTTATAAATATTGTAACTTGTTAATCAATTTAAATTGATTATGATCAATACATTTAAGTGATTGATCCTAATTAGCAAAGTCAGGTTCATTATTAAAGAAAATTGGTTGTTAACCTGAAGTGGCTTTTCCAAACAATAAAAAAAACACATATTTAATCATGTGAGCATAAACATATTTAAGTAATAATCTGAGTTCACTCTTTGAACTTGAATATTTTTATCTTGTGATGCATATTTATTTTATACTATAAGCTTATATCTGTTATTTGACCAACCTGAAAATTTTCACTATCTGGTCAAATTAAATTCAAGAACTGGTTTAAGTCAAACAAAATACTTCCAAAATCTAATCCTAACACTGGTAGCAAGATTTTTTTGAATGATGCTGGGGTCTTATAATGCATCCAATTAATGATAGAGCCTCTTGAATTATTAATAATAATTAATAATTAACTCGAGTTATTAACTAAAAACTACTTGGTAATATACAGCACAGTAGATTAGTTAAAACTATGTAAATCATGTTATTTAATTTATCGTTATATTGACGAATATAAAAGTATATATATATAAATAAAAATCAATTTACTCATGTGTTGGAATAGTTTTTATGAATATTTAACATTAATTTTCATTATGATTTTTTGTATATAATTATTTTAAAACAGGGTGAAACCTGAGTCACCAGCTAGTAAAATTCATTATGTAAAATGAAATCTGAATTTGAGTTAGAGGTAAGGGTGAAATTTTGAGTTTAGCTATGTTTTTTTATTATACAAAAGTGGATTTCAACCCTCAATATAGCGAATTTTATAGCTGGTAACTCAGGTTTCCACCCTGTCGTATTATTTTAATTGTATTGAATATGCAGCTTTTAATGTAATTACATATTACTAATTACAGTATTAATGACCAATTCTTGATTTTTTTATTATTAACTAAAGCTCGAAGTTCCACTACTACATCCAATCATATGTCTGCCAAATTAAAAATTTTTTCGAGATATGATCATAATTAGAAATGGGCACTATGCTTAATTTTTACATAACTTATATTATGGAAATCACATTGGATGTTAATTTTTATATAAATTATAATATGTGCCGATTAAGAACCATGCTGAATAGTGCCTATCTCTAATCATAATTATGCAGGAATCATTATCATTTTAGTATTTCATGCAGGCTATGAATTAACTATTACCTCATTAGCAAAGTTAATTATGTTAGTGATCAATATATAAAGAAATAAATAAAGCGACAACAATTCACTCTTCTTTGTGTAAGTAACAACAATAAAAAAAAAATTGGTTTAAATTTTTTTGAGCGCTGAGGACATTACTTAACTAGTTTTATTAGTCTTGCTATGACCCATACTCATACTTTGAAACAAAAAATTGATATTCATCCAGGCAGAGTAAGACGACCTCACCTGAATGTTCAGCAGCGATATTATAATCGAGCTAAATTTTTGAATAATCCTCAAAACTCACTACTTATGAGTAACCTTAAAGATAGTGAGGATGTTTCAATTAGTAGTGACTTTGAAGATAGGAATGAAAATGACAACTTTAAAGACCTGTCATTCAATTATAATAACCTCGAAGATGATAACGTAGCCAATGACTTTGAAAATAGCAGCAATGATCTTGGAGATGTTTTAATTAATCATGTTGAACTTGAGGACAGTAATGAAGATAATAACATTGGTTTTGGAAATAGTAATATTGACAGTTCAATTAATGATGACTTATCTAATCAAAAAATAGCAGATGGACCTGAGCCCTTTGAGCCAAACAATGGTGAATATGGCCCACACTTCGCTAATTTTACCGAGCAAGTGCTTTTTTTATGGGTTAGTAAACATATAATATGTAAGTGGCCTATTATAAGATGTTTCAATTTCATATAACATGTATTCTAGAAAATTAATTTGAATTGTTTTTTCTTACCTTTTCAAGCCACAAAGGCATATGAAGATTTAGTAGTGATTATCAAACATCCATAGTTTCAGCCTCATCACGTACCTAAAAATATAAGACATCTTAGATCTCTACGAACAAGGTTGCATTTATTAAATGTAAAAAGTCACTACATTCCTATTGATGATCGAAAAACTCCTTCTACATCAAAACAAATCAAACCTGTCTACACTATTTCGATAAAAGAACACCTTAAACATGTTTTGAATAACTAGCGACTAATGGAAAAGATGTATTTTGGTCACAGCATTGAAAGCCAAGAAAAATTGGAGTTGTGGCTTGGTGACATTTGGCAACGGTCTCTCCTATATGAAGATGTGTCCATTGTTATAAATAATAGTAAATCTTTCTTAATTATTATTTCAGCTAATACTAAGCATTGTATAAATCAATCCAAAAGTATGTGAATTAGAGCTTAAAAGCTTATAGTAATTTGCCAGCCTACAGCCTATTTTTTGAAATGTTTTTCTTGATTCATCAAAATTAATGTATTGTACATCCTATTGTTATATCAGCCAATTAATTTCTAAATCAAGAATGATACTTTTGAATGAACGTGACCTGGTTGGCCTCTGATTTTACAGGTTATGTGGGTGATTCATTATGCACAATATGCAAAGCAGGATCAAAATTTTCATAGCGATGGCACTATGGATCTAATACTGATTCGTTTGCAACAATCACTGACCCACATAAACTATAAAATCGGAGGCCACCCTGGTCATGTCCTTAAATGACTGGCAAATCGCTATATGATTTTAAGCCCTGATGTGAATATCGTGCACAGTACACACAATTTATACACTATAAGATTTGTATATACGATGAATTATGTGCACAATGTGCACAATTTGCTCTATATACACATCTTCGGTATTTTACAAATAATTATGGTGTACTTTTAGCCCCATAGTTTGCAAATTACGTACACATTTCTAGTCAAAAACATTTAAACTTTCTTTTTTTAAAAAAAAAACACTAAGCACATTGTGCATATAGTTTTTATACACTGTACTAAGAATTTATAATCGGATCTAGTTACTATTTATTATTTATTTTCATTTTTTAACATGCTTTAATTTGTTTCAGTTGAATACACCTTCAGACAGTTTGTAGAGTTTTTATACCAATAATAAGAATCGGCATAAAAGACGATTTGGAAGGATTGAAGGCATTATCTTGTTCTTGCAACTATCTAATTCAGATCATCCAAATAAACAAATGAAAGACGCATTAAAAATGTCAAGGCTTTTAAGACATGATGAATTAGAAATTTATTGTAGTCAAGATAGAAGTTGGAGGGGACAAAGAGAGCTCTGGATGATAGAAGAGGATTATCAAATTATTTATCTCAACCATATATTAAGGCGTATTTCAATATGGCTTGAGGATACCTCCCACCAGAGATGGTAAATGACCTGAAATGACCCAAATGACCCAAATGACTAATGACTGGTCATGAGTCATTTCAAAAGCCAAATGAACTTAGAAGGTCATTTAACATTTGTTAATTGATAATCTAACACCTTTTAGCCAATCAAACTTAATTATTATACAAGAA